GAGAGTCACCACCATCTCTGAGCAGCAAAGACAATATTTGTGCAAATTGATTGCACGTTGTGTGGTCAAATGTTTGCACATGTTAGAGGTTGTAACCATTGCTGGGGTCGTTGCTCGCAAAAAGCAATGTGTTACACTTTACTTGTTACTGTTACTGCAGGACAGCTCAGTTTGAAACAGGCTGGACCTACTCTCAGTCTCTATTCTATCAGTGATACACAGTTTTCTCTGTGACTGCAGTTACCATTCAAAGCTGCTACCATGACAAATTTAACAGCATCAAGTTAGTAATTAAAATCAAACTTAAGAGAAAGGTGACCCGTTGAACTTTTTTTTTCCAGTCATTGGTTGCGTTCATGGAAAACCTGCCAAATCTTCTCTGACAGACAGCACGCAGCCATTCTCCAATCTCATAGAGTTGATAGGCCACGATTACCTTTCCCCTTCAGGCCTGCTTGTGCTGGTGTTGGTAACATGTTCACTGGAGCCTGAACATGTGGTGAAATATTATCTTAGTCCAGGTTCTGCCTACAGCCCTTGGATCAGTGTGGAGTGTGGAAAAGCTGCGGAGAACGCCATGCTGATTGGTGCACTGATAGGATAAGAGGTTTTGGTGGAGATAGTGTGATGTATGAGGTGGCATCTCCCTCACTAGGATAAGAAGGCTTGTCAGAATTGAAGGCAGTTAAAATGCAGAGAAATATTAAGATGAGATTCTGCAACCAGTTGCAGTTTTATATCGTCACATTCTGGGACCATACTCTATCCTGCAAGATGCAACCGCTGACCCCAATAGAGCGGGGTTTATCAGACACTACCATTAGAATTTGAGAGTGGAGAGGGGGGAATGGCCGGCTGCAGTCCTGACCTCCGGCCCATTGACCAGTTGTGGTATCAGGACGTGCTGTTTGTGCCGGAGTGAACAACACAGCTACACTGGCTGACTTGCAACAGTATTGTTTGACCAAGCAGGCGACCACCATGAAGACTGGGTGAGTGTTGTGGCTGTGTTTGGTTCTTCCACATGCTATTGAGCCTCCTGTTTTTTCTGGGCACAGCTCACATACTCAGCTATGCTGCTCAGTTCACAAATGCATTTTCCTTTAATTGTGGCGCCATATAAGGCGAAAGAAACACGCTTTCCAACAATTTTTGTCAAGAAAGATTGTTACAAAGAAATAATCGACACCCACTCCTCTTACTGTGATCCTGCTCTGCTGGTGGTGCACCAACTAACAGTCTAAACCACAGTAACGTAAGACTAATGATTGATAATGTTATTTTTCCATTTCATCTTTTCATTTATTCATTTGTTTATTTTACATTTAATCATATACTCGTGCGTTGTGTTTCAGATCTGGGATTTGGCTGATCCTGATGGCAAAGGCTACTTGGACAAACAGGTGAGGTAGAGTTTTAGAGATGACTGTAAATAAACAAAAGCAAACATATACAGATTGATCTACATCACACTGTCCAAAGAAACAGTAATAAAAATGTACTTTTGAGAGCATGGAGGAGAATATGTTTAATTCTCTTAGACATATTGTTGTTCTAATTAATAAAAGCAATTGGTAGAAGTCTTTTTAATACTACATGTGAAGGACACAATGGGAAGCACTTTGTTTTCTTACTCAGGGGTTTTATGTGGCTCTACGACTGGTTGCCTGTGCTCAGAACAGTCTGGAAGTCAGCTTGTCCAGTCTCAGCCTAACAGTCCCTCCTCCGAAGTTTGTGAGTGTATTCCTCATTCAAGCAAAAACTGTCATATTTTGTATACAGAAACTACAGCTTACTGGAATTATAATTCTTTTGCTCATATTCATTTTGTAGATGAACAGACTCTGTCATACTCATTTTATTTCATTATATTATTAAACCTTTTCTTGAAAGTTGGACAATGATCACTGTAACGTGTGATTCCAGAAGGACACCAGCAGTCCATCTCTAAGCAGCACAGTCTCTGTTCCTGCTGAATCGCACTGGGCTGTCAGGGTGTGTACAAATACACACACACACACACACACACACACACTGACGCAGACTTTGAGATGTTGAAGTAAAGCAATAATTACAGAAGGGCCTTGAGAGATTGAAAAGAAGGCAACTCAATGTCTTTAGTTTTATGAAGATGTTTTGCCTCTCATCCAAGAGGTTACTTTGTTTGTAAAATCCCAGGTAATAAACCTCTACTGGGGGCTGCCCCCTTTGAAGGTGGTCCTGAGGGTCTTTAACTGACTATTGATCATTTGAGTCCTGACAAAGAGGGTGTGAAAAATATTGTGGGTTATCCCTGTCACCAGAGCCTCACTCCAGCATCACCTTAATGTGGTCAAAATTTGTTTTCTCAAACTGACTGATGAAGGTTTGACGGATGTTTTTATCCAGGCTTTGGATTTCTACAAGCACGTGTGTCGACTGTATTCAAAAAGTCATGCTTATAGTGTAATGTCTATACTGATTTTCATAAATAAAATATCTCAATAAATAAAATAAAAAATAACACTGAAACTAATAAAAACTAAACGTTTTAAAACATTGAAAATAGAACTGAAACAAGAAACTCTGGCAACTAACTAAAATTAAACTGAATTAAAAACAAAGACCTGTATGACCTGTATTCTTTGCTCTCATTGGTAGTTACTTCAGTCACATGCCTGAAGATTTAGAATAGTTTATCTCAGGTCCCGCCCACTTCCTGTTGCTGCGGCCTGTAATTGTTTGACGCTGCTGAATGACATTCACTTTTTACGGTCTGTGGTTGCCACATCATTGTGGATCCCTTACAGTGTGTACATAGCTTAACTTTCTTTTTGATGTAAACGTCATCCATTATCTTTCATTTATGTGTAGAGTGATTTGTCAGAGTTATAGAATCACACATATACCTGCTTAATTACAGAATGCACGATTTTTTTTAATGCAGCAATCCTTCTGAAAACTTAACAACGTTGTAATATTCAGATACTTTGCTTTTTCACAAATGAAAAATCTGTTGGTGCTCTTGCTTCGGCAGCACTCAGAGTTTGTGCATCACATGGCATACATTGTGTTAACTTTGCTTATGAGTTATGATAACATGAGTATTTTTCTTTTTTAAATTTAGCACAAGCTGTGTTTAGCTTATGTATAATTTAAGAAACCCCCCTCTGTGCAAAGCCTCAAATTGTAGCAGATGATTGCCATCATATCTCCAAGCTCCAAAAAATTGTATTTGGGAAAGCAACGTTTGTCTTTATGGTATGAATAAACACAAGATGTTTAAGCTTTTGAAATAAATAGTGTGTCTTTTGCTTTGTAGCCAGAGGAGAAGAATAAATTTGATGGGATTTTTGAAAGTCTGGCTCCAGTCAACGGCCTGCTGTCAGGAGAGAAAGTCCGCCCAGTCTTAATCAACTCCAAGCTACCTCTGGATGTCCTTGGGAAGGTATTTAGTCCAATTAGGATTTTTTTTTTGGACTTAATAATAAATAAAAATTAGATTTCTATCGCCTTTCAAGAAGCCCAAGGATGTGTAAACATGGCGTTTTGGTTTGTGTTGAAGCTTTAAAATACTGAAGGCAGAATGTAATGGGTTTTCTTTCAGAAACATTCAGTTATATGAATGTAAATGGTAAGTGCACTGGGTCTTAAGTAGCACTTTTCTACTTTACCTGTGCACTCAAAGCTTCACACCCACTCATACAAGTACTTTTTTTTCTAAGTAAGTGCTTTCTATCTAACATTCATGCATTGGAGAGCCACTTGTATTGTTCAAGAATATTTGGCATGCAGACTGGGAGCAGCCAAGAACCAAACCACCAACCTTTTGATTAGTAGTTGACCTGCTCTATCTTCCAAGTGACAGGCACCCGATAATGTCATGAACTGTTAGAAAATAGTATTTTTTCTGAAGAAATTGAATGTATTGTACTTTAGTGAACCTTTCAATTACCATTAGTCATCTCACTAATCGTGTTTATTTCTTACTGTTAGGTTTGGGACCTGAGTGACATAGACAAGGATGGCCACCTAGACAAAGATGAGTTTGCAGTGGTAAGTGATACTCATCTGATTAACATTGCAAAAGTTTGACTGACAACATCTGTTTCTATGAAACGTTATGTGAATATAACAAATACTTATCTCCACAATGGTTAAAATTAAAGCTCAAACTGTATTACAAATATCTTGAGAAAGAATACAGTACTTTTTAACCTTTTAAGCTGAAAAAGTAGTTTTTTGCACATTTGTCACATTTAAATATTAGACAAAGATAACCCAAGTAAATACAAAATGATACGAAGAGAAGGGTAAGAGATCACTGCTTCTCTAGTTTCAAGTAATGTGAATGACTGGTTAACAGGAATTCTGGAGATCAAGTTCATGACTGGCAAGAGAGAACTGTTTGTAGGGTTGCTTGAAAGAAAACTCAAACCCCATGTTTGACTGTAGGGATCGTGCACATGTGATGAACACAAATAATTTAGTTTTAGGAAAGAAGAGAACAGAATTTTGACTCAAGGTACTCAAAAGCTCTCGTGCTGTGTGACTGTCTCTAGCTGGAAATAACTGTGCGTGCCTACAAGCCAGTGTTTCAACAGATGGAAAAAATGGTCATGTCTCAGCTTTAATTCAAGCAAATGAATTATCAGTATAAGTAGAGAAAGAACTGATTGTGTTTTTTCATTATTACCCAATAGACAAAAGATTTCATGTGAATAAGGTGAACAAGAATTGAGTATTGCCACTGATGAAGTCAATCAAGCACCTTGAGGTGACTGTTGCTGTTTGTTGTATAGATAAAATTGAATTAATTCTGAGGTGGCAGAGCAAGTTAGGAGCAATCTAATGAGGCTTTCATGTTTGGACTTTTGGCAAAATAACAGGTTTGGGACATAACTCATTTCATTCAGGAGTATGTGAACCAGTAAATATGTAGTATTAGCTTGATATTCTCTCCTAGGCCATGCACCTGGTGTACCGGGCCTTGGAAAAAGAGCCTGTTCCTGCACTCCTCCCCTCTGCTCTCATCCCTCCATCTAAGAGGAAGAAGAGTCTCAGCTCTGTGGCCAGCTCTTTACCTGGACTGCCTGCAAGCCCTCCTCCACCTAAAGATTCTCTACGTTCCACACCCTCCCATGGCAGCATGAACTCACTCAACAGCACTGGCAGCCTGTCACCTAAACACACACTCAAGTCTGGACAGGTAATAAACATTATAAAAAAATTAAGGGGACACCAAGTCATTCCCATGCCAGCCAAGAGAAATAATCTCTCCAATTACTCCTGGTTTAGTCCCAGGGCCTCATTTCTGTCACTTGTATTTCACTACCCATAGCCTGTGACCATAGGTGAGGAACGTAGTCTGACTGGTAAATCAGCAGCTTCACTTTTCTCTCATTATCACAACAGATCAGCTATGCTAAAATTGTTAATTCATATTTCCCACCATCATTGTGCACCAAGTAGCCTATAATTACAAAGGATACTATTAAAAAGGATTTGAAAAGGGTCAAATCCTTGATTAGGAAAATGAATTCAAACAGGTAGAAACGTATACATTTGTTTGTTACCTGTTGAAGTTTTGGGTTGGGCTGCTGGCTGGGGCCAGGATTCAGGTTCTTGGCCTGCTTAGCGTTAGCATGCCGTCTGTGCAGATACTTGCGAAGAGCCAAAGTTGTGTTGCCATAATGACGCAGCTGCTTTTGTTATTGATGGAGTTTATTCTTTACCATCCTGCTCTCGCCCTGAGACATCAAGTCTTAGTTGTTAACTTAAGTTGAACCTGAACAAGTCTTGATGTAAACAGTGAATCGTTTAGCAGAACGAATTTCAAATTAAATCTATTAAAACTCTCGGATAAGTTTGAGGTTTGGTGACAGTCTGAGGACAAATTTACTAAAATTCTTGTGAATTCAAGTTGATGTGTTTAAGTAGACCCTTTAAAAAGTAACAGGCAGTTACTGTTTGGTCAAGTATACTGTCATAACAATGCAGCTAAGGCTACATTACTTTTTTTTTTCCTGAGCCATTATTTTATATTCTCTTGCACTCGAGCTGTGATGATTCCAGTCAAAATCCCTATAGAGACCTAAAGAGTTGGAGCTCTCTAAGTCTCTGTAGGTTCATTTCTCTGATGTGCAATGCTTATGTATGTATGCATGTATGTATTACGTAAAGTGATCTCCTGAAAAGAAGGAGAACCATAGTTAATCATACATGCAAAAGTTGCAAGTCTAGGTAAAAGATTTGCAGATAGTTTTAACAGGGTCAAAAATAAAAAAAAAAATGACATAGTGTGAGTCTTTGTCTCTTTCAGCATTCAGTGAACTGGGTGGTCCCTGTGTCAGAGCGTGGCCGCTATGACGATATCTTCCTAAAGACGGATGCTGACATGGATGGTTTTGTCAGTGGACAGGAAGTAAAGGAGATCTTCATGCAATCTGGACTTTCTCAGACTCTTCTTGCCCATATATGGTAGGAACTCAACCACAAGTCTTCTCAGTTTTCTGCAGACACTAATATTCATCATTTCTATTAATTAGCAGTGCAATAACTGATACGTTTAAAAAACAAAAACTGAATTTTATATTTAAAACTTCAATGCAATTGGTGATACAAAATGTTTGAAAATGTTGGCAGTCCATTTTGAGAGATATAAATACAGTACTGTGAAAAATTGTTTTTTGCATATTTGTCTTGGTTGATTTAGATCATCAAATAAAATGTAATAACCAGAGTAAAGAAGAAATGCAGTTTTTAAATAATGATTATATTCATTCAGGTAAACAAGACCTACCGGAATCATACATTTTGGTTTACACACATTGCTGTGTTTTAAAAAAGCATTTGGGAAAATTCTGACAAATACTTTATAGATGAGCTATTGTCTTCATCTTTAAGGCCTTAGACTGAGGTAATCAGAGATAGCAAACACCAAGATAACGAGACACAGATTAAGCAAAGATAGAGGAAATGAAGAGTTAACAGATAAGGGGAACACAGGAGGCAGGAAAGATAAGATTTAGGGAATTAACTATAAACAGTTAGCGATAATAACAAATTACAAATGGTGGAGACACAACAAAAACTGAGAAACAAAGAGGAGAAATATCCTAGGATAGAAAACTCAAAATTACCAAAACAAATAACAAACTATTCAGAAACACACAATAATCATAAATAGAACTAAAAAAATCTAATCCAGAATACTGGGTCATACACGCCAAACCATGATTTAAAAAAAAAAAAAAAACGCCAGAAAACTCTCATGTGCCTGAATTAAGATTAAAATAATTCTGCCAAGAAGAGTTGCCAAAATTCCTCCACAGCAGATTCCAGGACCAGAAAAAAGAGCTCCGCAGATATTGCCACTTATCACAAATCCTTGATTGAAGTTTTTGCTAACAAGACGGACACATCCAGTTGTTAGTTTGCTGAGATATTACTGGGTGAAAATCATTATAGCACCATAGCTCTGCCCAAAAAATGTGCCAAACGTGACATTGAAAAATGAACTTGGAGCTGCTTGATTTGGTTGCTATTAGACTTGATATGGTTCATTTCCGTTGTATTTTTATTCGACTGAATCTTTGCAATATAAAAGCTGAGGTTAACTGAATGAACCGAATGTGTCTCTGTCGATTATGTTTCTCGCAGGGCTTTAGCAGATACAAGGCAGATAGGCAAGCTGACCAGGGAGCAGTTTGCCCTCTCCATGCATCTTATCCAGCAGAAAGTCAGTAAGGGCATTGATCCTCCACAAGCCCTGACTGCCGATATGATTCCACCTTCTGAAAGAGGCACTCCACTACCAGTAAGTAGCATCATCAAAGCTGTTAAAGGTGTGCTAATGTCAACATATTCACATCCCCAGCTTGCATGATATAGTATTGGCTGTCACAGTGAGACCTACATTGTACCTCACCTGTTGTAATTCACAATAAAACATAAAAACTAGTGCTGTCAGTGTTAACGCGGCAAATCTCCGTTAGCGAGTTAACGCGGATTGCCCCGTGCATGGGGCTGCACGACGCTAACTCGTTAACAAGATAATGCGTTAGCCCGTTAGCGTTTGTTGCTCCCATGCCAACTTTGTTGAGACATGCTGCTGCCATCAAATTCAAAGTGAGCTAATATTAACATTTTCTTAGTTTTAAGTTTATGAGTTTCAAGTTTGTTGAGTTTATTATTATATTATATACATTTTACAATGACCTGTAGCCTAAAGCCTAGTTGTTGTTTTTTTTAATCAAAATTTGCTTTTGTCATCACTGTTAAGCCATGATTATTTCTTCTTTGGTGGGACATAATGTAATCAAAGTCCCTCTTGTTTAAAAGGTTTTCAAAAGTTTCTGTTTTGACATGGAATAAAGCTACATTGGTTGCTGTTTTACACCATCATCAGAGAAGTTTGCTGTTTATATATATTGCACCCGCTGCATCAGCAAAGCCGCCAGCATTGTGGAAGACCCCACGCACCCCTCACACACACACTCTTCACCCTGCTGCTTTATGACAAGAGGTACCGGAGCATTCGTGCCCTCACTGCCAGACTGTCCCCCAAGCCGTCAGACTCCTGAACACTCAGTGACTGGACTGACACACGCACACACACTTCACTGGTTGAAATGACAATAAAACCACTTGACCTTTACACCATCATCAGAGACGTGATGCTGTTTTTCACCACCACCTTCTCTGTGGTTTCAGAGTATGTCAGGATACATTACTCCAGTGGGATCTGAGATGGCTGCTCTGTCAGAAATGAGGCGGGTGAGTCAGTTCTTCTTTTCTTCCCTGTTCTCCTCTTTCTCAGGCTGCAAGGTGTACATATTTCCCGCTACGTGTGTTATCTTGGGAGTGGTTTATTTCTGCTGGAAAATGTCTCAGATGCTGACCCGTGTCAAAATAAAATGGAAATGTTGTGAAGGGTTAAATTGGTGAAACCAAAGACATTTACTGCTCACTGTTCTATCCTCTCTTTGCTGCTAACGTTTCTACCTTTCGCCTCTTCCTCCTCTCTTAGGCCATAATGTTCAAGTTGTGGGTAGGTAACATGGGCTTATAACGTACTACTTTCTAAATGCTTTCAGCTTTCACTGATTCCTGGAAAGCATTTGCAAGAATTTTTTCTCCATTTCGATACAGTACAGTAAGATTGCCTCACACTGTAAACTGTCTTGATCATGGCAAGATTCAGGATCACTGGATGAAAAATTGGTTCTTTTTTGTTGAGGATGTCTTTTAAAGAAGCTCAAATCTGTTAGTAGCAGTTGTAGTTGTGGTCTTGCAGTAAATAACTCCATTTAGCAATCATCTACTCAGTTGAACGCGCAAAACTAGTTGCAGTATGACAACAAAAACAGATATATGATACAGTTATTTAAACATACAATATACTCACCAAACACTTGGTTAGTTACACCTGTTGAACTCTTTGATGACAGACATATGATCAGCCAATCACATGGCAGCAGCTCCGTGCATTTACGCAGTGGCACTTTTTAAGACGTCAAAGTTCAGCTGAGAATCAGAATGGGGAATAAAGGTGATTTAAGTTACCCTGAACGTGGCATTAATTGGTATTGTTTGTGCCAAATTGGCTTGGGTATTTCAGAATCTGCCATTCTACTGATCTAATCTACTTTTCCCACACAACCACTTCTAGGATTTACAAGAAAGAAAAGTAAAGACGAAGAGAAAGTATCTAGTGAGTGTCTGTTCTGTGGCCAGAAATGGCCAACATTGGTGATGCCAGAGGTCAGAGGAGAATGGCCAGACTAATAGGAATGCAACAGTAACTGAGCCTAGCATTCACACAGGGTTACCTAAATTTGACAACACAAGAATGGAACAATGTTACCACGTCTGATGAGTCTCTATTTCCGCAGCGACATGTGGATGGTAGGGTCAGAATTTGAAATAAACAGCATGCCAGTATGGATCCATCCTGCCTTGTGTCAGTGGTTATTACTCACCCCGTCCATTCATTTATGACCACAGTGGATCCGTCTTATGATAGCTGCTACCACCAGAATAACATATCATGTCACAAAGCTCAGATCTTCTAAAACTGGTTTCTTGAACATGACAGGAAGTTAAAGCGAGAACGGGAAATTTGCATGGCTGTGTAGCAGGCAACTGTGTAATACTGCGATGTCAGTATGGACCAAAATCTCTGGAATGTTTCCAAGACCTTGTTAAATCTGTGCCATGAAGAATTAAGGCAGTTCTGAACAGGAGAGAATTGGAAACAACAAACTTGAAACTCAAACTTGAAACAGAGATGGAAGAGGGAAACGAGGCGCAAAAGAATACACAGCCATGTGGGACGATGTGACAGCAGGCAGAGGAAGACAGAGGACTAAATACACAGAGGATAATGAGAGGATGGGAAACACGGCTGGAAGTAATCTGACACAACAATGGAGGAAGCAAAAATGAATACACTAAGCACAGGACAAGGGACTATCGAAATAAAAACAAGAGACACACACTCAGATATGGACTTAACACTGGGACTGGGGATCAAACAGACATGGGAACACAGTCAACTGGAAAGACCGAAAGGAAACAGAAAACAGACACAGGCGAGTAAACAAACATGAAGACGAGGGAGACTAGACATGAAATGTGGAATGCAAGGGAGGAACAGTACCAAAACAAAAGACTAGAACTACAAATGTAACCTTAGCAGGAAATATCTAACTGGACTAGAAATGCAAATGATTAAACTAGAAACCTAAACAATGCGAGAAAAAGCAGAAGAAACAGAAATGCTGTGTCATAGATCCAGTATCACGACAGGTCCACTCAGAAGGATTTTTAATAGAAGAAATGCCAGTCATATCTTTGCAATGAAGACAGGAAATGTGCAGTCTTTTTTTTTATAATACTTCACTGAAAGCTTATTTGGTTGTGAAATGTGTGTGATCAGACAACACACATATCTTCCACTCAGCATGTAAGCATAACAAGGGTAGCATGGTGGCGCATGGTTGCTTCACAGCAAAAAAGTACAGGGTTCTTCCCAAAAGTCCAAAGGCAGTTAGTGCGAGTGTGAGCACGGATGGTCGTCTGTTGTCTGTCTGTGTTAGCTTTGCGACAGACTGGCAAGCTGTCCAGGATGTACCCAGGATGTAACCCGCTTCTCACGGGGTACATCCTGTCCTAATGTTATATTAAATCATGCAGGCACTCTATAACTTTTTATTTTTTTTTTTACCAATATTACTCTCCAGAGTCCTTACTAAAGATTCTTCATTGTGGTGCTCATCAAAAGCGAGCATAAATGGCAGACAGCATGGAGATTAATTATTGGGATGATAATGAATTGAATTGATAGAATTTATTTAAATGCCATAATAACTGTAATAAAAACAAAGATAACACAATGCTTCCGAGATGCATTTTTTTCATAATAGGTTACACAGACATAAAAGCATTGCAGAATCGTTGTCTTATTTTTATTGCAGGTAACATATCGTTATAGTACCATTAAGTTACTCTGCAATTCCCAAAGCTAGAGATACAAATACTGGAAGCTTGTTGTAGACCAATTTAGATTTTTTTAAAGGTGAGGTGAAGATAAAATTGAAAAGTCCTGAATCTTTCCTGTCCTTTGCAGGTTGTCATTGGTGGTGACACCTCCCTCACATGTTGGTGATAGACATAGCCCCACCTCCGTGCTGCTCCTCTTCTTGACCTCCAGTTTTTCTCCCATCTGTTTTTTACCTCTTTCTCCTTCCATTGGCCTATTCTGCCATGGCTCATTTGGTGCCATTTCATCATCCTACTTCATCGTGTTTGTTGAGACAACTTGACCGTCTCTTATTTTGTCCTTTTTTGCTGTTTTTTTACAGGACAGCTCTAGTTCAGTGGGTTCAGGAGAGTTCACTGGCATCAAGGAGTTGGATGACATCAGCCAGGAGATAGCTCAGTTGCAAAGGTAACAAACAGGGTCATCACAGTACCAAAATTGCAGTACCAAAAAAGCTCCATCACTAATCCACTGTCAACATTAATATCAAGACTTTTAATTCATTTCAGTTCCATCCATTAGTATAATCATAATAACACATAGAACAGTGTTCTACCTTTTCTGTCACCGTACTATCCTGTCAAAATAATGTTGGAAGTAACGACGAGACATCTTTTAACTATATATGTATGCAGCAGCATTCTCATTTCCAAAGTTACTTTTAATGTGGCCCGTTTTAAAATTTGAACCGTTAAGGAATACTAACTGTAAGGAGTTGACAAATGGGAATATGGATGTCTATAACACACAGGCAGAGCTTGCTAAATGGTGGGGTGGGGTGCAAATACACTTTTAGAGACTACATTCTTAGTCTCTTTAGACTGTTTTCTATCTGTATACATATTTATGTCAAAGCTCACCTGCAATAAAAAAAACATAATCAAAGCCAGATTTTATACGTGCAGGTATTCATTGTCACTTGTGTAAATAAATCCCTTACTCATAAATTCATCATATTGTGCATGTAGTACTCAGCAGCCATGTGCACAAAGAAGCCATCACACACGTGAGTGTCTGCTTTGCAATTTCTGCAGCACATTCACACTCTTGAAGGTAACTCTTCACTCAAAGCTGAATTATTTTTGCTTAAAGCAATCTTGCTTTTGACAGTTTGGAAGGCAGAACCCAAAGGAAGAGGAGTCCTGGTGTGAATCTTAATTGCCCCTTGGGGATAAATAAAGTCTCTCTGATTCTGATTCTGATTGGTCACTTTCAAAGCATTGCCACCACAGCCTTTGTGATAGAATTGCTCCGTTTACTGCATGGCACCAAGTTACACTGAGGCAACAGCATGCACTATATTGCTAAAAGTATTCCTTCACCAATCCAATTCAGGTGTTCCAATCACTTCCATGGGCACAGGTGTTTAAAATCAACCACCTAGGCATACAGATGGTTTCTACGAACATTTGTGAAAGGTTTGCTCTCAGGAGTGAAGGAGGAGTGAAGTTCAGGTGATGGGATGCTACCTGTGTCCAGTTGTGAAATTTCTTTGCTAATAAATACTCCACAGTCAACTATTAGTGGTATTATAACAAAGTGGAAGCAGTTGGGAATGCCTGCGACTCACACTAATTTTTCATGGTTTGTGGTAATCTTTGTGCTAGTTAACACATGGTTTCATTTTAGTTATGTCTGCTGTTGATCAGTCATTCTGGTCTTCTACCCTAAATCCTATACTTGTATAAAAGTAGAAATACTACAATATATGTACATTCTGTGAAAATAAACTTTTACTAAAGTAGAAGTACAAATGTTCTACGTTAAAATATCCTTTAAAGTCTAAATAATTGTTGAGTCATTAAAGTGTACACCACACGCTAGAACAAACTGTATTATATTTGGTTTATTTTATATGTAATTTAATAGGGTTAAAGCTTTAAATGGACTTGAAAGTCAAATATTTGCCTTTGTATAGTCTTATCATTATTCTATGAATAAATCAAAAATCACTATGAGAGAATCAATCTGTGCTACACGTCAGTAAGTACTTGTCTTGATTTGTTGACTTGAATGAATGAAGTTTGCCAGTTTAACTACAGCTGTAATTTCTACTGTGTGCTGGTGGATGAACTGACCTATCAGTGGCTTCTGAAAGCTTTCCCTTTTAGTGATGGTTCAATTACACAAGTTTGCTGCAGACTAATCAACTTTTTGTTTGCAAGTTTCTATGTCTTTATTTTGTGCAGCATCCTGATTCTCATTAAGAGTGTTCTTTTTATTTATTTGTTTTTAATGTTCACAAAAGATATATAATAGTGCACAATAGACTAATGGGACAGGAGTGCAGAATATTCTGAGCTTGCCTTATAGTCCCAGGGTTTTAAGATTACTTGAGCATTAAAGTAGTCTTCAGTAGACAGTTTTCAGTATTTTCACTGCTTTACAGCAAAAGATAACTGTAATAGTAAATAACGCATGCTGCACACACAGGATAATTTGGTTTAAACCAGTAAAC